TTCATCTCTTTTAGATGAGCTTTTCTAGAATCACTATAACGGTGAGAATGATGTCTATCATCTCGTGATGTACTTCTAGATGATGGACTTTCAGAAGAATGATAATGACGATGGTAATGATGTCGTCTTTCATATGAATCACTTCTTGATCTAGAAGAATGTCCTCTTCTATGAGAAGATCTATGACGAGAATAACTCCTTCCTCTTCTTCTTGAAGATGATTTTTGTTGTTTATGATATCCACTACAATCAATTAATTATTAATATAAAATATAAGTATATTTAATAACAAACAATTTATAGTTTTTGTCTGATACTTTTGATTGTAATCCTCTATCCCATTTCAATATAATTGGTCGTCCTTCTAATTCTTTTCCTTGTAACCTATAATATTATTTCATTATTCTTTTTTTTCATATATTAATAATTCTGTCATTACAATGTTTATTAATTATTATCAATAACAAACTTATTCTTTATTTCCAATGCTTGTTCATGAGTTTCAAATGCCACAAAACCAAACCCTTTTGTTTTCCCTGTATTTTTATCTATAACTATAGTGATTTTACATTCATCACATTGAATGAAATTCTTTACATCTTTTTCTGTACTTGAATAAGGAATATTTCCAATATAAAGATTAGTGTATTCATTATCATCTTGATCAGTTTTATCTCCCATATGAAATCTAACAAATCTTCTATTTAAGTTCTCTTTTTTGTTTTTTTTTGGTTTTAAAAACATTTTAGAATATTGAAAAGTATATTTCAATACTTTTAGAATCTAACATTCATTCAATAATATTTCTTTGAATTTCATTGATTCTTGATTATAATAAAAGTAATAAACAGAATATAATAAAAATAAACCATGTAAAGTTAAACTCTTAATGCTTGAATTTGATTGCCAACAGAAGCACAAACCCATTCTGGATATAATGTTGCCCATACTATGTTATTTACTTCAGCTTCAGCTTCATATTGTAATACTTGAGGATCAGCTCCTTCAGCAATAGGTGCAATATCCCAAATAAGAGCTTTATGATCATCACTTGCAGAACATAATTGTGTAGCTTTATTAGGTGCCCAAGAAATAGCATTAACACTATTTCTATGAACTTTTAGTTGAGTATAAGGAATAGCAGGTTGACGAACATCAATAATAATTACTTTATCACTATCCATAGCAAATGTAGCTATGAAATTTGGATCAAATTTATTCCATTGAAGTCGTAATAAAGGAACAAGACCTTGTGATTCATATAAAATAGTTGAATGTTCTAATGAACGTAAATCAAACATTCTTAATGATCCATCACCACCTACTGTTCCAAAAATATCAGGATTAGCTGCAAATGAAACATCAAAAACTTCTTTATCATGTGCAATTAATTTTTTTACTAATTGACCAGTTTCTACTGACCAAACTGAACAAGTAGTATCAATTGAACATGAACATACACGATCAATATTAATTGTATTCCAATCAAATGATGTAGATGGTGAAAAAGTTTCTGTTGATGAATTTAATGTTGTTTTACATTTTAAATTAGATGAA